TGGCACAGCCAGCTGGGCACACAACTCTGATATGCAGATCGTAATGTTTGTGAACAGAGAAAATGAATTCCAATGAGCACAGCCCATCATATTTCAACTCTCTGATGGGCAGGAAGGTCTCTCTTTTTTATCCACTGTCCAAATGCCTCCTCTTCTATAGTCCATTTGAGGTTATTTAAGCACCCCAAGTATCTGTACAACACCCCATTAGCAAATGACTCCGGAAGCCAACTCCAAGTTTATAAAACTGCCATTATCCTAAGGACAGGGTAGGGGTAGTGGCAATGTAACATAAATAGTCGTATTAGCTACCAGTATGCTAAACAGTCAAATATGTGATTCCATTTTGATCTCCGCTAGCCCAATAAAAATGAGTATTTCCATTTTAAAGATAAGAAAATTGAGGTATAGGGGGGTTAAGGCACTTGCCCAAATAACGCCAAGGTTCTTACCCAGTACTGCCTCACGCTAATACCTGCTAACGTGAGATTAAAAACTTAAAGGAGGTCTAAGTGGAAGTGGTGATACATTACCAAATCACCCCCTGTGAAAGAAGAAAGGTCAGGGAAGTTGGGGAAAACTCAAAAATGCCACGAGACACTCAAAAACCACAAGTGGTGACTCGCGCATCATACAGAGAGCGGTAGCATTTGGTAAGTTCTAGTTACGGTTTTCTACAGCAATCACGGTAAGAAAAGCTATCCTTCACAATCAATAAATCTCTCATTTTGGGAAAAGCTGCCTCCAGCACTAGCTCCTTATTACCATTCTAGAACTGTGTCCTTGACAGCAACACCACTGCCTCTACCTGAACACCGATCACACCATCTGCTGTTTGAGCAGCAGCAACTCCTAACACCGGTAACAGGTATTACTACTTTAATACAACATCCCAATACCAGCAACCAAAACAACCAAACCGAAACAGCTGGTGTACGAAGCTCATCCACACACCCCGCCAACTATCCAGACACCCACCCAGCAAGCCCTCCCATCAGTGAATCACTGTGTGCCGGGCACTGTGCTAGACCCTGACGTTCTCTGCTTCATTTCAGAAGTCGTCCAAAGTGAAATCCAGCGTTTCACCTCCCATAAGGAATCACACACACCACCAAATCACAGAGCTCATGCTGATTACGAAATGGGATTTCCTATGAAGAAAATTACAAAGCACCGGTCACAAAATCATATGCATTTAGGGCAACAGTTCATAACCTTGGCTGTGTATTAGAGTCACCTGGGAACTGAAAAATAATGCCAATGCCTTATCCCAGATCAGTTAAATCAGAATCTTCGAGTGGGGCTGAGCATGGCTCTATTTTATAAAGCTTCTCAGGTGATTTGAAAGCGCAGTCGGAGTTGAAAAACACCAAATTCAAGTATTTCTAGAGTGGTAGTGCTGGAAACCTCACAACCCACAAATCTATCACAAAGACTCCCTTGCCCATCACTACACCTGCCATCTGGGCTGTATTAAAATGATACATCAATATAGTGCTCTCTTAAAATCAGGGTCCAATCATTACCTTGTTTATAGCAATGAAATACTAACCAAGAGAGTACCTGAGGTCATGGGCGCTCCCCCCGCCCCCTCCCTCCCACACCCCCTGCCGAGACCCAGCGCTGAATGGCTGCAGCAGTGAGAGGGTGGATGAGGGGTCCTGTCTCCTGCAGTTGAGTGTTTGGGTGAGTGGAACAGGCAATGGCCAGGCAAGAAGCAGCCTCAGCTCAGTAACCAGACAAGAGGAAACCTTCACAGTTCAGGCATGATTATCAAACTCTTTGTGCTCTTAAAGGAGAGTAATTATAGGCATGTGAAAAAAGGGAAGCACTCCCTGAGGAACTCTTCCTCACATGCTTCCCAAGAGGCACCAGGGCCATTAAAAATTCCATGATGAAGAGGAAAAACAGCCTGGGAACAGCCAGGAGGCAATACAGCAAATTAATACACCAGCCCTCCTCGGGGAAAGCTGTGATAAAACAGGAAACACTTTTCTCTTCGCAAAATAAAATTATACCACTAATGATAACATAGTCACCACACACACACACACACACACACATCATTCTAATGATAGGTGTGAAATTCCCAAGGCTGCCCAGACGCTTTGAAAGAAATCTTTTCCTACTACAAATAAAATGGAACAAGAAAAAGATAAAATTTCCATTCGAAACAGTTTTTAATACAGTCATTCACCTGCCTCTTCCCTGACACCATGGCTCTTTAACAGTCCTCGTTAGACACCAGGCTTTGTTAAATGGTGTCCACTCTGTGCAAAGTTCCAACCATCCAGCTCTGAAACCATCTTATCCTTCGGCCACACCGGAGCTAGATGGCTCCTTCTCAACTGACCCCTTGCTGGGCAGGGACCACCACCCCCACCTCCCAACTTCAAAGGAATGAGAGGATGCCCGGAGGGCTCAAGGTTTCATCACCCACATTTTCTAAAAATTGCTTAGAGGTCACTTGTGCTGACCATTTCCCACAGAGCCATGGTTGCCAAACTATTGACTGTGCTCCCCCATGAGTAAAACATGTGCACAAACACCCTTTATGTATGTAATACATACACATAAAACAAAAATACATACTATCGGATGTCTCTATGTACAATTTAAAACAAAAACCCATTTTTTAAGGATCAGACAATAAATGGAAATTTAAAAAATGTCTTCTCCTACCCCGAAAGAATGCAACCCACTTTGCATCCACTGCCCTGGGAATGATATCTAAAAGGACAAAGATGAGCTAGAATTGTCCACAATCTTTCACCTTGTTTGTAGTAATGGTCTAAAGCAATGAGCAGCATTTCCCTAGAGCTGACCACACTGGAAGCACAGCCTAGACTCCCTTACTCTTCCAAGCCTGGCCACAAGCACCCCCAGCAGAAGGAAGACAACGATGTGGATAATAAGGTACATAAAGAAACAGAAAGGGGTGCCTGGGTGGCTCAGTGGGTTAAAGCCTCGCCTTAGGCCTCAGGTCATGATCTCAGGGTCCTGGGATTAAGCCCCGCATCAGGCTCCCTGCTCAGTGGGGAACCTGCTTTCCCCTCTCTCTCTGCCTACTTGTGATCTCTCTGTCAAATAAATAAATAAAATAAAATAAATAAATAAAATCTAAAAAAATAAAAAATTTAAAGAAACAGAAGGCTGACACCCACTCCAGCCAGCATGAGGCTTTAGAAGCAACAGGGAACCTGATAAAAGCTCAGCACAGCACCACACAGCTCTAAGTAACAGAAGTAAAGGGAGGAGGGCAAAGAATCCACTTTCTGCATCTGACAGGATATGGCGCTATTCATATAATCTTCCCGAAGAGCCATTATTTCACATGGGATTAAGACAAAAAGCTGGAGGACTGTTTTCCTACGCATTGAAATCTTGGGTCTTTCGAGACAGCCTGAGGATCACCACCTGTAAGAAAACCTCCCTGAGCCTCCGACTTAGAAGCCTCTCTTCTGGGCTTTGTATCATTCTGGTGCGCGTTTTTACACACTGTCTCTCCACACTGTAACTGCTGATGTCCACGCCTGGCTTTCTCAAGAGAATGGAAGTCCCTGAGGGCAGGAGCTAAACAAAGAGCCTGGTGTACGGTACGGAGCCAGCAAGTGCCGAGTGAGTGAATGATGAACAAACTGCAAAGAGAAGGCCTTAGAGAAGTCATTTATTACTTTATTACTACTTCTCCAGTAGAAGCTCTGGCAGTTAGCTGTAGGTTAGGGAACAGAATTTATTATTACAGCCCATAGTGGAAGTTCTCATTGGATCTGTGAAAGGATCATTTCTTGTGCCTGCACACCAACCTATGAACATACCCATTTAAGAATGAATTAAGAGAAAGGGGGAAAAAAAAACCCACATCAGAACTTTGGGAAGAAATCCTTTGTGCCACTAGAAATTATAAAAGTTCTGGGGTTCAGCCTATTAGCTCCTCTTTTGTGCACAATAACCTTGCACAACCTTGGGATGCTACCATTAAAACTGTGTTTACTTCCCATGTCACCTAATGCCAGAGAATTTCTGCTGAAAAACGCAGGATTCATTCTGCCACATCGGCAAAGGATTCATTCTGACAAATATATACTGAATGTCTAGTAAGTGCCAGACACTATGTTAGGTGCTGGGGATGTTATCAGGGAACAAGAAAAAACAAAGTCCCTACGCTACGAAGCTTATATCCTAGTGAGAGAGACAGGAGAAAAAAGTTGTGAGGGGAACCCAACAGGCAAATTCATTACTGACTGTGATAAAGCTTCAGCGAAAAGAAATTGATGAGCAGAAAGCGGTGGATGTGGCCCCCTTAGACAGGATGGTCTGAGAGGTCCTCCCTGAGATGAGAAGTAGCCAACGGTGAGAAGAGGCTTTGCACGGGACTCCAGACAGAGGGAACAAGTGTGAAGGTTCAGAAGCGGAAAAGGTTGCTACTTTTGATGAACAAAACGGAGCTGAGCTTCCTGGCATGGCTGGACCTCTCCCCCAGCAAGGAGAGAGAAGTATATGAAAGGAGGCTGGACACGCAGGCAGAAGGCAAATTACACAGAGTTCTGCAGGTCAAGGGAAGGATCATTAATAGTGTTCTTGGAAGATGGGGCTTTTAGCCGAATAGGAAATACAAGCCAGAAGACTTGGGGGCGCCTGCGTGGCTCAGCTGGTTAAGCGTCTGACTCTTGATTTCAGCTCAGGTCTTGATCTCAGGGTTATGGGTTCCAGCCCCACGCTGTTAAAAAGAACAAAATAAAAAAAGAATCCATGCTCTAATACAAGTCAGAAGACCGGTCACAGTGAAGACTTAAATCACACATCAGCCACGTGATCACAGGAAAGACACTTCAACACTCTGCCTCAGTCTCTGTATCTGTAAAACATCCACTGGCCTTCAAAGGTTGTTGTAAAGATCAAATTGGATATTATACACAAATATACTTAATAATTTGAAGAGTGTTGTAAAAAAGGAAAGGGTCTTGTCTGGAAGAAAACCATCACCGGAAGACACTGACCTGGCAGAGCAGTGCGCCGGCGAACATCGTCGGTGAGAAGCGTCGCTGAGAACATCCAAGGAGTAAAGGGGAGACAAGGGATCAAACTGCAGGAAAAAAAGAGCTTATTTTAGAACAGCTTCTATGAAAAGATCTGATCCCAAGGAGCGGCCTGTTATTTGATTACTCTGCCCCTTGGACCGTTTGACTCCTCGACCATATGAAAGACACCATTCAGTGAAGTTGCAGCCAGGAATACAGCGTACTGATCCCGCACACCTCAAAAAAAAGGCTATTCCTGGGCGCCTGGGTTGGCTCAGTGGGGGTTAAGCCGCTGCCTTCAGCTCAGGTCATGGTCTCAGGGTCCTGGGATCGAGCCCTGCATTGGGCTCTCTCTTCTGCAGGGAGCCTGCTTCCCTTCCTCTCTCTCTCTGCCTGCCTCTCTGCCTACTTGGGATCTCTGTCAAATAAATAAAATCTTAAAAAAAAAAAAGGCTATTCCTTGGTAAGTAACAACTTTACAAAAAATTCTAATACATGACAATTACTTAAATGGCAGAAGATAGTACTTTCTATTTGACATAACAGGAACTTATGCTATTGACTATTAGCTCTTGTTCCTAAGAAAACTAGCAAGAAGTTACCTTTTTATTTCCTTATCCTGGTCGGCGCATCTAGTAAATAATGGTTGACACATGCCAACAGTCGTTGTTCATGGAAACAGAACTAGATTAAGATCCCTAACATCTGGTTCCAGTCTATCCCTGAGTTGCCATACGTTAAAAGCAACACACTTTCTTTGAGCTTTACTATCCTCAACTGTATAACGGATGCACTGCTTATCTTACCTATTTTATAAGACTGTTATGGGGCTAAATTAAATACTGCTTTCAGTTGGGGCGCCTGGGTGGCTCAGTGGGTTAGGGCCTCTGTGTCCGGCTGGGGTCACGATCTCAGGGTCCTGGGATCTAGCCCCGCATCGGGCTCTCTGCTCCACAGGGAGCCTGCTTCCTCCTGCCTCTCTGCCTAGTTGTGATTTCTCTCTGTCAAATAAATAAAATATTAAAAAAAAAATACTGCTTTCAGTTTATAATCCCAGTTTCTCTTCTGTAAAACTTCTATTTATCTCAAAAGGTGGTTGTGAGGATCAAACTCGGATACAGTACACAAAAATACCTCGCTTTCTGTTTTCTAGCTTTCTTTGGACTTCTCCCAGAATAATCCTTCCCACAAATTTCAGAACTAAATATATCTTAAGACCGAAGCTCTGAATGGTAATTTCAAAAGAACTTACAAAGAAGTTTAACTTTGGGCAAATTGTTTAACTCTTATTTGTGAGTAACAGATCTGGAGTAGGTAATCACCACAGGCCTTCTTCTGCCTTTCGATCCTCTGACACAAACACGATCAGTACCTTGGCTTCCTGTCTTTCACGTACCACCTTAATCACTTTGTACCTGCCCACCATCTGCACTATATTTACTCCATATTTTTCTTCATACCAATTATTTTTACTCAACCTTGTCCTTACTATTTCTATGGAAGGACAGATTGATAGAATGATATTTTTTCTAATACATATTATGACTTAAAGTAATAATCGTATGTCCACACACCATCTAAAATCATAAGTACACACCAGTTAGGTATACTCTAACTCTATGCTCTAGTTCATTCTGAAATAGTAACTTCAAGAGGAAGGTTCCAAGTCTAAGCTGTACATCAATTTAATAAGCCCTAAAGAGTCTAACACAAAACAAAAACCGGTAAGCAACAGGAAACCTGGTATTTCCACCTATCGGTCTTCACCTGTTTTATACCTAATTGAGATAAAGCAACCTCCATTCCCACAAAAATCGAAAGCTTCAAACATTAAAGGAACATACTGCTGCAGCAGCTCTTTCTGCCCATGGGTCCTGTCCCTGTGCTTTAATAAACCACCATTTTGCACCAAAGAATCTCAAGAATTCTTTCTCGGTCGTCGGCTCCGGACTGTACCCCACTGACCCTCAATTATATTCTAAAATTTCATCATTCAGCGCCTGAACGTGGGGCTTTGAGTCTTTACATCTGGACACTGAGCTTCGGTGCAAAATTGGTGAGTACTTTCTCTACTCTTCCTTTATTCTCATTTCAGGGGCTTTTCAAGGAGTGTGGTCTTACTGGAACACTTGCATGTTGACTGCTCAGGCCGTAATCCTCTAGCTCGTGGCTGCTCTATGGGGAGAGAAAGCCTGCCTTTTGGCTGGAAGTTAGTACCCTGACCAGAATGGTAATAAGACCCAGAAACTTGATGTACTCTTTTTATTCCTTTTCTTTCTTTAAAAAAAAAAAAAAAAAAAAAGGAACATACTGTTAGCTATAGTCAGTAATTTTTAAATTATGACCCCTTATAAAGGCCTACATTTGCCAAAGGCCCTCTCCAGGGGTAGCCAGAGAAGAGACTGAGACTAAGTGGGCAAGGTCCTAAGGCCTTGACCCCACTTCACTCCCAGCAGCCCTCCCTCCTTCTGTTTCTTATGTTCAGGTCTCATCGCTGTAATTCTCAGAGTAGGATGCTGGTGCTGAACTAAATCATAGACAAACGAGGTTCACTCTAATTTCTTACTGCAAAGTTCAAAACCAAAATAAAAACGATCCCTATGAAATATGCATTACAAGTAATAAACAGAAAAACACAGTTGAACCTAAAAAGGGGAATTAGCTACAGTTCTTATCAGTGAGTATCAGATAATCTTAAACAGTCCTCTTAAAAAAAAATCAGAATAACATAGGGAACAGGGACCTTACCTCATGTGCACAAGCAGAAATGTGAGGAAAATCAGAAGCCAATGCTTTATTCTTTCTAAAGAAAAGGAAATCAAATGATAAAATAAAGATGACAAAGAAAAGCGATCTTACCTGATTTCGTTCTCTTTTCCCAGCTGACGGTAACCAGAAACTAAAGAGAGGGAGAGAACAACAGGGAAGAAAACAATAAAAGAAGCAGTTGGAAATTACAGAAGAGCAGGAAAAAAGATGCTGGGGTAACCAAGTGAAGATGAAGAAAGAACTGGGGAAAAGAAGGAACTAGAGGCTAAAAGGAGAGGGATGGTAACTGTATACAAACTTCTTTTGTAAAAAAAAAATAATAATAACTTCAAAAGAAAAAGCCTTGTAATGAAATGCAAACCACTGTACTCTCTAAAAACAAACCCGAGATTACAGTGTGACACCAACAGACTCTCAGCTGTGTGGTTAACAACAGGATCCCCAAATTCAACAAGAACATAAAATAAACTCACATCTTGCCTATTTTGTAAATGACAAATTTGGCCAGGCTAATGAGTATAAGATCACAACTAGATACCAACCATGAAGCGTATAGGGGACATCAAACAGCCAATCGTGTTAGGGGACAAGGCTGTCACAAGAAAGGTGGGGGGAATAATTCCTAGAAGAACACAGGTGATAAATTTCTTGCCATAGGTCTCTTTTGACTTGGGGGGGTGGGAGATGGGATCTGACTCCAAAGGCAAGGGAAACAAAAATAAAATAAATGGGACATCAGGGCACCTGGGTGGCTTAGTGGGTTAAAGCCTCTGCCTTCAGCTCAGGTCATGATCCCAGGGTCCTGGGATCGGGCCCCACATCGGGCTCTCTGCTCGGTGGGGAGTCTGCTTCCTCCTCTCTCTTTGCCTGCCTCTCTGCCTACTTGTGATCTCTGTCTGTCAAATAAATAAATAAAATCTTTTTTAAATAAATAAATAAATAAATGGGACATCAGACTAAAAAGCTTCTATGCAAAGGAAATTATCAATAAACAAAAGGCAACCTACTGAATGGGAGAAGATATTGCAGATCATATATCAGATAAAGGATCAACATGTAAAATATATAAAGAACTGGGTGGGAGGCTGGGTGAGCCTGGTGGTGGGTATTGTGGAGGGCACGTATTGCATGGAGCACTGGGTGTGGTGCATAAATAATAAATTCTGGAACACTGAAAAGAAATTTAAAAAATAAATAAAAATTAAAAAAAAAATAAAATATATAAAGAACTCATATAACTCAACAACAACAAAAACCCAAACAATCCAATTAAAAAATGGGCAGAGGGCATGGAAGACATTTCCCCAAAGCATACAAGCCCACAGGCACATGAAAAGATGCGCAATACCACTAATTATCAGAGAAATGAAAATCAAAACCACAATGAGATATTACCTCACACCTGTCAGAATAGCTATTAACAACAAAACAAGATATAACAAGTGTTGGTTAGGACATGAAGAAAAGGGAATCTTAGTACACTGTTGGTGTGAATGCAAACTGGTGCAGCCACTCTGGAAAACAGTATGGAAATTCCCTGAAAAACTAAAAATAGATCTATCATATGATCCAGCTATACCACATCTGTATATTTATCCAAGGAATATGAAAACACCAATTTGAAAAGATACATCCACCTCTACGTTCACTGAAGCATTACTTAAAATGGCCAAGATGTGGAAACAATCTAAGATTCCATCAACGGATAAAGAACATGTGTATACATCATACACATACACACAACGGGATACTACTCCACCATAAAAGAGAAGGGATCTTGCCGTGTGTGACATGAATGAACCATGAGGGATTAGTTTAAATGAGTAAGTCAGAGAGAGAAGACAACTACCGTATGACATCATTTATATGAGGAATCTAAACAAAAACAGTAACAACAAACAAACGAAAGAATAAAAAACAAAACAAAACTCATAGATACAGAGAATGGACTGGTTGTTCCCCGAGGAGAAGGGGATGACGGGCAGGTGAAAGGGCTCCATTTCAAGCTGATGTATGGTACCTAGATTTATGGTGATGATCACTTTGTAGTGGATACAAATACAGAATTACGATGTTGTATACCTGAAACTTACTTAATGTTATACATCAATCAATCAATATAAATAAATAAATAGAGCACAACTGGAGGCTACTTTTATAATCAGCATCTATATACACAAACAGCAAAGAAATAAAAACTAGTCTAGAAGGAAAAAAAATCACTGTCTTGAGTTTAGGGCATTAGCCATGTTAACTGTTGTAAAGTACAAATCTTTAAGATCCTCTCATTCAGCTGTAAAGTCAGATTTCTAGGTTCCTTTCACAAAACTTCCCTCTGTCTCCTACTCCAACGAATGGGCTAGGATAATGAGTAAATTACAGAAGCACTTACTCCTTCTGCCGAGGGTCACTAATGATGTGGCCTATTCTCTCAGAACTTATGCTGGTCTCCTGCAAAGGCAAGGAAGACAAGAGTGTCATCTAACCACAGAAACAAATAAAGTATGATCTGTCATCAAGTTCACACTTTCCCATAACTGTGCCAGCAACCTCAAAGGCACATGTCAAACGTCAATCTTAAAATCCAATAGCAAGTTTATTTCTTTTTATGGAAATTTATCTTGAAAGTGTTATGTTATTCTAGACTTATTTTTCTCTAGTGTTCCAAAAAGGTCATAATAAACCTTGTTTATTATAGATAGAATTTTAATAGTGAGTTATTAAAGTATCCAGAAATAGAAACAATTTTTAAAAAATCCAACAGCAGCTGATTTTTAATGGGCTGCACACCAAGTTCCCCAGCTCAGACACAGCCCCTTCATAATGGGAAATTCACCCCATCCTCACTGGGAACACATAAAATCTGCTGACTAAATGTACACGTATTACAGGAATTTTGCTTACTTACAAAAACTGTTACCCTGTCTTGTCTGTTAAGCATCATCTCTTAAAGTAAAACAGAAATTTGTACAAACTGGTTCTTAAATTTAGGGTTCTTAAGACTGTAATATGAAATCTTATCCATAATACCACCAGAAACTAATCATCTCCAAAAAACTGAAAAATGGCACAAGGCACTCACCACCCTTCACTTCACTTGAATATATTTACAATGACTGTCTATCACAGGACCTGGGGGAGCACACCGACAGCACATGAGTAAGAGTCATGCACACACGAGTAAGTGCTAAGATAGAGCGTGTTAAGTCATGGGCATGAATGTCAAGTACGTGAAGCCTGTTACTCAAACACATTTGTTACTGGGCAAATATGATCAGTATTCATGTATGTGTGTGGATTAGCCTAGAATATTAGGGTATACATTTTCGCAGTACTGACCATAGGAAAATTAATTTGAAGTCAGATTCTGGGCGGGAGTGGAGCTAAACGAAAAGGTTTCACAGACTGTGTTCTGCACATTCTTCATCCCTTATGCACATGCCTCCTGGTCCCAGACACAGCCACAGTAGTGGGGCCAAGGGAAAGGATGGGTGAAAAATGAGCTATTTGTTACTGCAGAAAAATTATTAACTTAAAGTGCCGTAATGTTTAAATTTACAGTTTATTACTGTGTAAATTACAAGCAGTACTTTGCGTAATTAGCAGCTCGCTGGCAGGGAGCTGTGAATGAAACTCATTATTTATGATTACAATTTAGAGAAAGAGAAGAGAGGTGGGGGAGGGGGAAGAAGGGGGGCAGAACACTGACCTCTGCTAGAAATGACAAATATCCCTTTAAGGTGATGAAGATGAATTAAACAAGTAAATATTATCCCATTCATTTGAAATTCTTAGAGGCATACCCAATAGGCCCTAGAATTTCCTTCCAGGCAAGCTAAAGGGAGCCTTCAAGACAAACTGATTTACTTCCATGGAAGTGGAAGGCTCTTATTTTATAGGAGCTGAAACAAAGTAAGGTAGATAGTAGGTAGAACATTATCTTTCAAGGCCAACTGATAAAGGAAAAAGTAAAACCATCTCTCTGTTCCCTACTCCCAACCTCCTGCCTGCCTCTACCTATTAGCTGTCCTGTTAACGAAGAATACGCTCTCAGAACAGTGAAAGCAGCATTTTAATGTCTGTGAAATCAATGAGCCAAAAGAAGAAGGTATCATTCTTTCAATAATCAAATGTCTTTCCAATTAAGAGATCTGAAATTGAATTTAAAGATTAAAAATATCTGAGTTTGGGGCGCCTGGGTGGCTCAGTGGGTTAAAGCCTCTGCTTTCGGCTCAGGTCATGATCCTAGGGTCCTGGGATCAAGCCCCGCATCAGGCTTTCTGCTCAGCGGGGAGCCTGCCATCTCCTCTCTCTCTCTCTGCCTGCCTCTCTGCCTACTTGTGATCTCTGTCTGTCAAATAAATAAATAAAATCTTTAAAAAAAAAAAATTCTGAGTTCACCTGGAACTAAATAGCTTTTTACATAGCAAAAATTTCAGAAAACGGTTCCCTAATTAAACTATAAAACACCTGAGGGTAGCCAGGCTGTGGCTGTGATCACTGTGTACCTGGCCTGGCACAGAGCCTGACACATAATAGGCATTCTAAATGTTTATGCATTAACGCTCTGAAATGCCTCTCACTCCCTTGCCCTTTGCCCACGACCATCCTCTCTAGGTATGAGCCCCAGTCTTCACCTACCTTCAATCTCAAAGCTACAGTAAAAAATTAATAAGTGCCTGCCTTTGGCCCAGGTCGTGATCCCAGAGTCCTGGGATAGAACAGTTCCCTGTTCAGTGGGAGTGTGCTTATCCCTTTCCCTTTACCCCTCCCCCTACTTGTGTGCTCTCTCTCTCTCTAATTAATAAATACTTCTTAAAAAAATAATAACTTTTAAATTTTAAATTAGAAAAGATAAAAGAGAAACACAGCTGGGTTCAATTCTCTCTTCTGCCACATCTTTCTGGGGAATATCAGACATTACCTAGTTTCTCTGAACCCAAGGTTTCCTCATCTGCTAAGTGGGAACATTACCTATATGGTTGTTAAGAGGATTAAATGAATTGAGTGCCCAGTACAGTCCCCAGCAAAGGGGGAACTGAATAAATGGTAGATATTCCTCCCATGTAGCCAAGGAGAAGCTTTTGAAATCTGGTTAACAGGTTTTCTTTCCAGTTTTGGGTTTTGTTTTTTTTTAAATGAATTCTGGAATAAAAGACCAAAGTTAGGACAGAAGAAGCATTTATGAATTCAGGAGGAGTTATAAAGAAGCCAAGAGTATTTTAACTTCTACAATAATAATATAAGATTAATCAAAAGAATAGAAGACACTAGAGCAGGCCTACAGATTACAGACAAACTGTCCTAATAGTATTTGCTTTGTCAAAACTTCTGTATGAGTTAAGCTTCATCTTTTATGTGTGTATCCATTTATATCCTACGTTAAGGTTCACTCTTGTGAACTTGCAGAACATTTCAATTGGCTTAATTTACTCCAAGTTCTGCAGCACCTCGGATTATTGAAAACAGTACACAAATCCCGTAGGAAATACTGTCCTCCCAGTATCCCAGTAAGCCCAGTAGACATGGAGAGCGGTCACCTTCCCAACAAGCCTTCTTCGGCCCTTTCTGAGGCATCGAGCTGCAGCTCCAGGCAGACGATTCAAGCGTGCATGGTACCCTAAAAAAAAGAAGAAAGCCCTCAGAAACAGAATGCAGAAGATTCATTACCAATGATATGCTTCTAGTACACCAAAGGCTTTCCTCCCCAGGACCTTACTAGAATGACCCTTAAACTAGTATCATCAGTCTATATGCCAAGGATTTATTATTCTTACATCTTTGCGGTATGATCTTAGGTGTGTCTTTACCTCTGACCTAGGGATCCTCACCTAGAAAGGAGGGATAATCACTCACTCAGTCCTAGCATACAGGGCTGATGGGAAGACTCAATTAAATAACACAGGGAAGGTATTTTATAAATTGAAAACAGTACACAAATAAAAGGTGTTATCAACAATTTCTAATAATAAATTAAATCCTAGTTATTATCTCAAAAACACTGAAGTCATGAAATAATAGTAAAAATAGCCTGTATAAGTGTATAGCCATTTATACATTTATATACAAAAAATATACATAATATACATAAAAATGTATAGCCATTTTTCTAATTGCTGTATGTGTTCTATACATAAAAAACACAACTGGAAAAATCCACACCCAAGTCTTATCGATGACACTGTCTCTGGGTATAGAATAATGGGCCATTTTAAGGTGTCCTTCGTGTTCTCATTTGTGTGCATTTTAAGTGGTCCATAAAGAATTTTCAGAAATGGTCACTGAAATGTTTGATGCAAGTTATTAAGGTAGCAACATGTGCCTCAGCCAGGAAATAATCTCTACCAAGAGCCAAATGTTTTCAGAAGGACTTTCAGTCACGTAAATTCATCACTGGAAAACGCTATAGGAGTTTATCGCTTGGGCATAATTCTGATCACCAAAAGATGCCCAACAAACACGTGATCACTGACTGACTCATGACTGATGACTGGGCACCCCAGAATCATCAGTTGATAGAGCTAAAAGAACCTCTGAAACAGTCTTCTCAAAGCCACAATTATTTTAAGCGCCAACCCCCACCTCCCAAGGCAATAAAGTGACTCTGTCAGAGTCACAGAGCTAGAAGACAGTACCTGAGAGTGTTAGCACCCTGTTCCTTCCTCCTGTCCTAGCTCTTTCCACTCTACCTTGCTACATCATAAGTAAAGGAAAAGCAAAAGGAAAGGATGTATTTGTGTTTAAGTCCACAATAATAGAATAAAATCAAATTATTTAAGGAAATATTTTAAATCATCCAATTAAAAAAATGTCATTATACCTTGTATGTGAATGTTCTTACTGAAATCTGTTCTCTTCCAAGATCCAATACTTCAGGCTCCCACTGAGCACTCCATAGCCCATCGGTTTCACAGCAGGTAAGCAGCAGTGACACGCTGCTAGGCTTCCTAAATCTGGCACAAATGGCAATAGCAAGCTGAAGGAATGCCCTGCTAACAGATATCCCAAGAGTCTCCATGGGTTGATTTAGTATGAATGGAGAACCTCAAGCTTTGAGACTCACCCTTGAATCTTCTAGGAAAATCCCTGGACTAGCTCCAAATTTCAGAGAGTTAATGCATACTTAGAGGGATGAGTATACTGGCCATGGGATGATTCTCCCCAAAGAGAACCATAAAAGTTGTGAGGTATATTTTGGTCTCCTCAGAACTTACCTCTTTGAGCTGGTCGAGAAGGTAAAAGGAATGTGGAATCGGAAAGTTTATCCAGTCCAGAATCCATTCTTTCTACTTCAGGGCAATGATCAGGAGCCCACTTTGGCAGAAGATTAGGGACAGTGAATCCTGGGACACATTCTCCCTCATAGAACCAATCGCTCTGCTCATCATCTCCTAAAATAAAGAAATCCTATCATAAGCTGGAATTTTAACATGCTCCATGGAAAACTAAATGGGAAGATGATTTCTCAGAGCAATGGATGTGATTATACTTTTTAAATAAAGTCGAAGTACAAAAAAAATTGTTTTCATCCTCCTTCTTGACCTACATTATGATGGAAACTAGAGAATCAAACTAGTTTCACAAAAATGTCATACTGTGTTACACTGGACTTTTTAGAGTGAAAAACTAATAGAGCTACCATTTACTAAACCCTTACCACCGATGAGGGTCCATGCTAAAAATCTCTTAAGTATGTTATCTCTTCTAAACCCTGCACTAATTCCAACTTATAAATGAGGCAACTAAAGCCCAGAGCAGGCAAGACCAAGTTAGTGAATGATGAAGGCAAGATCTGAACCCGAAGTCTAACTCCAAAGCCTTTAACACAAAAATAAGTTGCCTCTTATGTAGCATTCTGTGGTATAAATGGACCTGGGGGTTCAAAGCCCACAAATGTCTTTCAATTCAAAATTAGCTATTCCTCAGGATGTTTTATTTGCATTTGTTATAATGGGTGAATAAAAAATGCATACCCATATCTCAATTCCTACCACATTAACGGGAGAAAAATCATCTTGACACTAGCAATCCAAGCAACCAGGAAAAAACTAACCACAGGGAGAAGCAATATAATCCCTTAAGGCTTGTCATGAAGTTACACCAGTCGCCCAAGGCCAGACTCTTCACCAATGACAAAATCAAGATGAGACCCATAGAGTCAGACTCTTGGTTCAAACCTTTCTCTAGTGGCTAGGAAGACAGCTTCTCAGTTTGCAAAAGAACTTGCTCCCACCCACAAAAAGTAGTAAGACAGATAACTTTAGGTCTGCCACTCCATACTCCTTTCAAAATAGCAAGGATGAAGGGAATTACTACAAGAACATCTAAATAATTCACAGTGCATTCATTCTCTAATGTATGCCAGATCCCAGGGAAAGCTGGTCAGGCCATGGTTAGGGCATGGAGTATCAGATTTATGAGCCTCTAACACGGGCCAGGATAATGATAACTCTTAACCCACCTTGAAGATCTCTAAAAGGGAAAAGGAAACCGTCCATTAAAAAGTTACTCAAAGTGTTCCCTTATAAAAACACACCACCAACAACTACTTCTCTAGACCAGTGGTTCTCAAACTTCAGTTGCATCAAAGGAAGCAGAAAGGGTTGTCAGAACACAGGCTGCTGGGCCCTACTCCCAAAGTCTCTGATTCTGGTCCAGAAAGGATCAAAAATTGAATTTCTAACCAGTTCCCTAGTGATGCAAAGCTGACTTCAGTACCACATTTTGAGAATCACTACTTTGAAAGCATCTCACCAAGCCATGTACACAGATGAACTACAGATAGGCTTTAGAATTAACAATGAGGGGCACCTGGGTGGCTCAATTGTTAAGCGACTACCTTTGCCTCAAGTCATCATCCCAGGATCCAGGAATCGAGCCCTGTACTGGGTTCCCTGCTCAGTGAGAAGCCTGCTTCTCCCTCTCCCACTCCCCCTGCTTGTGTTCCCTCTCTCTCTGTCTCTCTCTCTGTGTCAAATAAATAGAATCTTTAAAAAAAAAAAAAGGAATTAAGAATGATTAGTTTCTCTGCATGTCAATATATTAATTCCTTTCTTATTCACAAGCATTCCTTAGGCCATTTATTAAAACAGTATAGTTAGTTAGACCATACTTCCTGAAGACAAATGGTATCCCATAATGGCATTTTTTTGTTGTTGTTCTTAAGCATTCACTCAAGACTTTTGACAATATAAAAAGGGACTCACTGAACTAGAGAAAACCTTGTGAAGTCATCTAGACCAGTAGTCCCCAACCCTGGGCTCACCAGGATGCATGATGCAGCAGATCCCCCAAAAGACTACTGCCAGAGAATAAGGAAGAAGCTGATGGGTCAGACTCCAGACTTCCTGCTCCTCCTGCTTTTTCCAAAATAGGTTTAGATGTTTCATCATCTGAGGTTCTATGTCTAATTCTGTTTGAGGAAGAAAAAGGAGAATTTTCCCCTTATCTGGCTTTCCCAGTAAGTAATTATTAAGAGCTTACTATATGCCAGGCAATATGTTACCCACTGTAGCTCCAAATAGTTAAAAAAAAAAAAAAAAATTCCTGCCTTGGAAGACTTAAGTGGAAAAGACACACATCTACAAATAATAACATCATGGTAAGTGATAACAAAGCAGTAAGTACAGGCAAAGAGTAGGGGTTGTAGAAGAGGAGACCTGCACTGAGTGTGTATCAGTCGGAATCTTCAGGAAATGCACACGCATTTAAATGGGATAATCAAGGGGTGCCTGGGTGGCTCAGTGGGTTAAAGCCTCTGCCTTCGGCTCAAGTTGTGATCCCAGGGTCCTGGGATCGATCCCCACATCGGGCTCTCTGCTCAGCAGGGAGCCTGCTTCCATCTCTCTCTCTGCCTGCCTCTCTGCCTACCTGTGATCTCTCACTGTCAAATAAATAAATACAATCTTTAAAAAAATATATAAATGGGATAATCGAGACTTTAATGAAGTGACTATTTACAAAAGTGTATACAGTATTAAGAGGAACCAATAAGAGACAGTGAAGCACCTGGGAGCCAGCACAATGGGGAACCTTTACCCTTCCTAAACCTGCAGCAGCAAGGAGAAAGAATGGTTATGAGAGACCAGAGAGAACACTGAGGTTATAGAAGACTGCCCAACAGAAAGGGAGCCAGGGAAAACTACAATCCAACTCAGTAGATTGCATTATTGTTGCCAACTCTTCACTACCTCCCTATAATACATCCATGCCTTTTGTCCTTTATCATGGAATTCCAGAGCCTTCGCCTTGAGGCAGAGCATACTTCCTCATCCCACTGATAACTGGTTTGTCAAGTAACAAGCTTTAGGTAGTAGAACATTAAAAAGATGTGACCGGGGCGCCTGGGTGGCTCAGTGGGTTGAGCCACCTTCCGCTCAGGTCATGATCTCAGGGTCCTAGGATCGATCCCCATGTCGGGCTCTCTGCTCAGTGGGGAGCCTGCTTCCCCCTCTCTCTCTGCCTCTCTGCCTACTTGTGATCTCTATGTGTCAAATAAATAAATAAAATCTTTAAAAAACATAAAAAAAAAATAAATAAATAAAAGATGTGACCCAAGCACATGCTTTAAATATATATGTATGCCCTGGTTTGGTCAATTAGCATTCACGCTTGCCAGCAGGAGAAGTCCATGCCACACACAGCCGCCAGGGCAAAGGTCCAGGATAAGAAACACTGAGTAGATACAAATATAGTTCAAATCCTGGAAACCAGCTGAGCTCAAGTTGGGCCAGCTCAAGTTGGGCACAGCCAACCCCTAGCCCCACAGCAAGAAACAAATGCGGTACACGATGGAAATTCTGGGGCTGTTAAACACTATTACCATGATAAAAACTTGCCTAATACACTCAATCATCGGCCTCCCTCCCTCCCTCCACTCCTCTGCTAATGGCTCCTATTGCCCAAACCCAATAAGAAAATGAGAGCAAAAAGCCCCACCGATGCAGTCCATAAATATGCCCTGGAGGGAGAAAAGGAAAACTGTGTCTCGGTGGATGAGCAACTGTTCAAGAAAAGGTAAGGATAAGATTCCTGACAAAGACATCAGCGTAAACAAAGACATGTAAGCACGAAATAAATAGCTCTGCGCTGAGAACTCCAAGCATCTAAGTATCATCGAACCCGTGAAGTTGAAACAGAGAGGAAAGCTGGGGCTCTAGAATAACCTAAAATCTTCCATCAGAAACCGAGGATTCCTTACCAGTAGAAAGATTTTCCAAAGGCCCAACACATAACCTGTCATAAAAAGGTCCATGCTTTCTTAAACTTCTGGATAATTATACATCATAATCTTTAAGAGACAAATTTTGAGTGGCGCCTGGGTGTCTCAGTTGGTTAAATATCTGCCTTCCACTCAGGTCATGATCCCCAGGGTCTGGGATGGAGCCCTGCCTCAAGCTCCCTGCTCACAGGGGAGCCTGCTTCTCCCCCTCCTCCCTGCTCATGGTTCCTATTCTCTCTCGCTATCTCTGTCTCTCCTTCAAATAAATAAATAAATAAAAGAGAGACATTATACTTCACAGAGCAGTATAAAAGCAAAGAAAAAGCAGCATTTGTAATTCTGAATAGTCTGCACGAATTCATTCATGGAAAGACAACCAGACTTCCTGGTATAAAACAAAAGAATCAAGACCTGAGCCGCACCCCACCTGGGAGTACACACACACAGCCTCTAATGACACGGCTCCCTCAGAATCAGAAAGAGATAGAAAAGTACTCAAAACAACCTCCATTATAGTAGGAAGCTCAGCAACTCCATCCATGCCCATGACTCTCGAGGCACGAGTGAGATACCCGCCCTCTTGATCTCTCTCCAAAATCAGAACTTGGATCCTGAGTGTTACAGTCCCAGGATTCCTTCAGTTACTAGGGAGCCTATCCGAACAACCTGGACACGTAGTCATTGTGCTTCTGTTTTCAATCATTAAAGAAAAATCACTGGATCTCAGAGCTAAAAGGGACTTTAGACATCTACGAATCCCTTATTTAGATTAACAGAAACACAAACCAAAGGAGCTACATGAAATTATCATTGGTACACAATTAGCATAGTCCTAAGCAAATGCAGAGGATAAAACACAGTTTCAAATTACGGTGTAGGCTGTAAAGATAAGGGACTGGTAATTAACACACACCAGCCCTATTCACAGTGTTCTATGCTAAACTTAAGGAGTTTTAACATTAGAAAGAAGATGTGTTTTATAATATATTCATCTAGAACACTATGTTCATTTATAAATAAGGTTATAAAAATAAATTCTTTTATAAAAATAAGAATGTCTTAATATCCAATAAAAGAGTACAATACAGAAGGATATTTTTTGGTTCTAATAAAATTAGCAACTTCCCGGAGTCCCATCCTTGATACTATATTCCCCTAATTAATGATTCTCAAAGTCTGAACTACCTGCATAAAAATCACTGCAGGTACTTAAGAAAAATTCAGATTCTAGGGGCCAACTCCAGACCTATCTGACTTCTAGGAACTCAGGAATTTTAACAGGTAGCCTTTAAATGCTCTAAAGTTTGAGAACCACTGCCATAGACAACCACCATATTCTCAGTGAGTCACTCATCTAATCATTACAATCTCCCCAGAAATACTGAACCAACATCCCAAAGCTAGGATCAAGGTTACCTTGCCGTCCTTCATCGTTGGTAAACAGCCCTGTGTCACTGCTGCTACACACACTGCTGGTTTCACTGGAAAAAAAGAGTCAAACACAAGAGAACACATCAGCTCCCGTGAAAAACAAAGCAGTGCCCATTCTGGTTGTCAAATCTAACATCCCAAGTTTCCGTGATTTTACTCCAGTTCATTAGCCAATCACAAATGCAAATTTCATAATTAAGTCACAGAAGAGTGCTTATTTTCCTGTAAAACAAATAAAAGGAAAACTCTATAATTTTTGCTTATTATTTCAAAGTACTTTATAAACATCTAAAGTCATTTTGTTAGGTTAGCATTAGAAAGTTATGTATTACAGTTCATAGAAGTAATCTCAACCTGGCTAGGTATATCAAACAATACAAAGCTATCAACCCATTTTGTTTATAAATCCTGTCAACTATCAGTTTCAAATGAAGCTATCCAACTTTAAGACATCTAACATCTATCATGTTTTTTTCCCCATTTACACAGCAACTAACAAAAATCCATGAACAAGAAGAAAGTCAGTATGACCAAAGTTATGTTTTCTGGGTTTAATGTCTTCCTGATATGAAGTAGGTACAACAAAACTCATTTTCAAAACAGAAGGTTAAAAATAAAAATACAGGGGCGCATGTGTGGCTCAGTCGTTAAGCTGCTGCCTTTGGCTCAGGTCATGATCCCAGAGTCCTGGGACGGAGCCCTGCAATGGGATCCCTACTCTGTGGGAAGCCTGCTTCTCCCTCTCCCCCTCCCTCTGCTTGTGTTCCCTCTCTTGCTGTGTCTGTCAAATAAATAAATAAAATCTTAAAAAAATAAAAATATAAATACAAAAACAAATTCCATTTGAACCCACTGAAATAAAACTTTTGCCCTATAGAATTCTGTACAATTGGTTTCATTTCCTGAGCCATCACTAACATCTGGTTCTTGCTCCTTCTTTTGCCTAATCATCATTAAATCTGATCGATCTGGTTCAAGAAAAATTACTCTATTCTTTACATTATGAGCTGTTTTCTTGAGTGGGAGTGTTTCCTTCTAAGCTAGCCAATTTTTTTCACCTACTCTACAAGATGGAAGAAACCAAAGGAAGGAAGGTACATTCTCATCATATGGCATAAGGAATAGGCTTGGCAAAATCCCAGTCTACATTTCTGGATCAAAAATCTGAAAATATTTTGTATTTTGCAACATTTCCAAATATCTTGCCAACACTAAATCCTTAAAATCCTGATTAAATTAAGTAGCAATGCTTTCCTCACTTAAGTTTATCTCTGAATAGATCCAAGAAATTTGCTGTAGCAAGAGCCAATAAAACATACTCAATTTCTTTAAAGGCTCTTTCATTTTATTTTCTTCTGTACTTGTAAGTGGGAACTTCCTCAGGTGTCATTCCAAGAAATGGCTCACAAAACTATATGACTGGATTCTGATGGATTTCGAATCTTCAAAGAGCTCTGTAGTTAAATCCAGAAGATATGCCCTCTGAGTTCTGTACTCTTCCTACTTCTGAGTTCAAGGAACTGTGCCTGCTGAACGTAATGGTGTTATTTTTGTGCTTCTAGCAAATTCCTAAGAGTATCAGTAGTCTAACTCCCTTGAGTCCTACTCACATTCTCTCATATTACTATTTTTTTATCCTCATCTGGCCTTAAAGATAAAGCAAATTTGACATTTTTTAACTCCTCTTGAGAGTAGGGTTTAAAAAGCACATTAGGCCATGGAACAGATATTCTAGCCCACCATCATGTCATGTACTTTACTAGTTAGCAGTATGACTAACCGAGACTTAGGGACCAGCAAACAGCCTCCACCTATTTTTGTATGAGCTGTGAGCTAAGAATGATTTTTAGAGTTTAAACGATTGGGGATTAAAAAAAATCAAAAATCATTTTGTGACATGTGGGAATGATATGAAATTCAAATTTCAGTGTCCATAAATAAAGTTTTTTTGGAACACGGCCACAGTTATTCATTTACATATCATCGATGGCTGTTTTCACACTACAACTACAAAGTTCAGTAGCTCCAACACAGAACATATTGCACACAAATCCCTAAAATATTTACTATCTGGCTCTCTACAGAGAAAGTTTACTGATCCCTGCTCTACACATGTTACAAATTCTATTCTTGGGTATTTAGAATTAAAAATTTGAAACCATTTTGCTTGATCACAAAATCTATCAATTCTTTTCCCCATTCATTTCTAGCCATCTAGATGTCCTACAAGATAATATTTCCTTGATCCTTTTTTGCATGGATTCCACTCTCTTGTTATTCTAAACAAAGGGACAAGCTCAAAGAAATCTGCTCGATCAAGAAAGGTGCTAGTAACCTAAAGCCTTTCTGTCGACTGCACATTTCCTATTTTTGTCAACAGCATTTAAGAAGACGCACTGTTTTTGAAAAAGCCTGGACTAACCTTGTCTAAGCTTTCCCACTTATAGTTAATTAGAGGAAAGGCAATGATGTCACAGAAATATCACCAGAATTTTAAGACTACGATCAAGGGAGACGGGTATTTTCTTCATAAAGAAAATAATTTGTCATGAAGAATGCTTATTACACAAAAGAATCACCAGTCTACTGGCATCGGGAAATGACTACTTCACAAATAGCATCTGCCAATTCTATTTGTTCTCTCAGAAGGACTTGCGTTGTGGAAATCTAATCATATTTAAGGAACTCTTAGCGTAATTTGATGAAAACAAAAGTCAAAACTTTGTGGTATGTCTGCACATAAACACTACGATACAGCAAGCAAAAATGTAGTATTAGCCAGAAAGCAGAAGCAAGTATTTCTCCTTCCAAGTTACAGGCCAACGCTGTCCAGTCCTGCAGACTTTATTCTTTTCTGGCTCAGAGATCATGACTTCTTTGAAAAAAAATAAGATTCATGGGACTTTAATGACGATATGGTCAACTATAAAATGTTAAGTTAGCTAATAAAGCATAATGTTTAATATTTTATTAAAACTACGCTCCCTTCTTTCAATAAACACAAGTTTCTTTTTGTACCTTTGTAGTTCACAAGGTCAAAAAATAAAAGATGTCAGGATCCTACATTTTCCTATTCCAAAACCTTCAAATTTGTTTGTAACTTTTTTGCTATGAGCATTTTTACGAGGCAAGAAAAAAAAAGCTCTGCTCCTCATTTTTATAAGAAAAAAGTATGATCCTACCTTTAGGGTCCACTCTACTGGTGGTACTCTGAGGCTTAGTGAGAAGACAGAAACTCAGCCTTTATTCATCTTCAGAAAAAGTAACTAGACAATCCTCACAAAGATAGCAGGTGTGAAATCTTGTCTTTTCCTAAAATGGCAGCAACTCACGGAGGCATCAATGCCTCCTGCCTTTGCCTTGGGAGCTGTTCTGTACTCCCTGTTCTCACATGATTCTAAATATAAAAGTTTGCATATAAAAAAAAAATCTTCCTAGAATATCTCTAAAATTTCTAAAAATGTATTAACCCTGCAAATAATTTACACATCATTCAAAAAACTCAATCCTAAATTGGGGCAGTAAGAAGTTTCTCACAGAAAAAGGAGGAAGAAAACCCCCATCTCCATTTCTCCTAAGCCTTCATTCATACACTCGGTAAGCATTTATTAGTTACCATACACCAGAAACTGCTCTACCCAGTACTAAAACTAACAAAGAAACATGTCAGTAACAACATCCAGGTGTACATTTTATTAAAAACCTTGTCCAGGGGCACCTGGGTGGCACAGCCGTTGAGCGTCTGCCTTCGGCTCAGGTCATGATCCCAGGGTTCTGGGATGGAGACCCGCATCCGGCCCCCTACTTGGCGGACAGCCTGCTTCTCCCTCTCCTGCTCCTCCTGCTCCTCCTGCTTGTGTTCCCTCTCTCACTGTATCTCTCTCTGTCAAATAAATACATAAAATCTTTAAAAAAATTTTTTTAATTAAAAATTAAATAAATAAAACCTAGTCCAGACTACAGAGAAGGCTGTGAAAACAGAGAAAGAAGAATGCTTTCCAGTGAATAATACTCTGCAAATAAGGGGTTGGGCAAGCCTACAATTTAACCTTAATGATACTGAGGCAACCAACCCATTTCAGAAGCCAGAAAACACCTCAAAAGCACTCTTCTGTGAGTAAAAGTAGTAATAATATATTACACTTCTGTATAGTGGTCTTCACTAATGTTCCCACACTTAATTCAGCAGCATAGCCACCATTTTAAATAAGAAACAAATAAAATTAAAGCCTGGGTTTTAGACCACCAATTGTGTTACCTAATTATAATAATATTGTCAGAAAAGCAACCGAACCACATCCAAATGAAATAACGGACGTGTAAAGAAAATCACCCTAACCTGTGGTTCTTGAGGCTTTCCTCTGCCAACATTTTATAACGAAAGTTTCTGAACAGATGAGAAAGTTGAAAGAAGTTCCAGTTACCACTCACACCCCATCACATCTACTGCACATCACACACTGCAGTTAACGTTTTGCTTTTTCTGTTTTATTACACGTCTATATATCTAACCTTCCCACCCTGGCATCTTTGTAATTCAATGCACTCTTAGTAGACCAGGTGATTGGGCATGGCATCCACTCTCAGAGAAGTAGATTATCAAGGAATCAAGCTTAATAAAACACTACTGATACCTCTCATCAACTTGAAGAATTAATTCCAAGGTGAACACTCAGCTAACCACTGTATCTTGGTATGAACGTTAAAATGTTTTCCAAGTTCTGAAAATGAAGTGCCTGCCCTGTTAAAGGGTATTTTTTCAAGTTAGCAAAAACTCTTAGTTAAAAAGTTTCTAAAACTACAGTGTTTTTGTTTTTATTCTACAGAAGAGATCAGTGTTTTGGTCTTACTAAATTCTCTAAATCTGAAATTCATGCTTGTTGGTAAAAGCAAAGTCAATGAAGTGAAACCCATCTCAGCACCTAGAAACACCAGCAGTAACTCTCAACTCAATTTTACTCCTTTCCTCCCCACCCCTTACCCCCCCTCATCCCGGCCCTGTATCGACAGGATCATCTGGCACTGTCTGGAGAAATATTTTGTGAGGACT